GCTCAGTTATCATTATCAATTAGAGATATGTAAGGTATAAATCAAAGTGAGATTCTAATAGATACCCATTAGAGTGCCTATATAAAGAAGGCTGATAATAGCAAGAACTGGAAGTTCTCTTATGTCACAGGTATGACTGTAAATTGGTAACATCACTTAGGAAAACAGTTTGGTATTACCTACTGAAGTGCAGTTATGTGTACTTTAGAACTCTATTATGCAGTTATGTGTACTTTAGAACATATTGCATGCAAATATACACTAAGAGACCTGGAACAATGTTCACAGTGGCAATGTCCAAAATAGCCCCAAATTGGAAAGAATTCATATTTGTCTATCAAAAGCAGAATGGCTAAGTCAGTTATGCCATATTCACAAACTGGAATGCTACATAGTCATGAAAAGGAATGAACTACATTTCTATTACACAACATAGATAAGTCTCACAAATATAACACTAAAGAAAACAAACAAGACCCAAAAGATTACCTACTACATGATTCCACCTACATAAGTTCCCAAAACCTAACTATAAGAGGCAAAATTTAACTGTAGTGTTTAGGAATGCACATGAGTGGTAAAATTATAAAGAAAATCAAGGAGGTATTTACCAGCAGAATCATGAGAGTGCTTGTCTTTGGGAAGGTGGTGATTGGGAAGGGACAAGCGGGACACTTCTAGTGTGCTGACAATGGTCCACTGCATGCACAGATGTTTATACAGATGCTCACTTTCTGATAACTGACTGAATTGAGTCTTCTGATTTGTGCCCTTTTCTGTATTTGTATGACATTTAAACATAAAGAAAGTTAAAGGAAGTGGATGGAGGCATATCTTCAGATGAACCAAAATGTAAAAACAGCAGCTCAGAGCATGAACACCAAAGGTGCAGTTAAGTGAAACTGTTCTATTCCCAGAATGATTTCTATTTTGTCCAGGGTCAGTTATTTTGTTTGTCTTGACAATATCCTTCAGCCTGTTGGTTTTCTTCACATCAGGTATCCTCGCAGAGATACTATCAAAAGTCAATGACACATAAAAATAGATGTTTAATTGTATAAAGTTTAAAAGGTAATCAACAAAAATTGAAATATACAATTATAATCACTGGAAGAAGTAAGAGAGAAGGGAGATAAAACTGAAATAAGTGCACATCTTTCATACAAGGAGAGAGTAAATGTTATCAATAATGATAAACCAAAGAAGATAGAAGTAAATTATCCATAGATACGATGGAAACCATTAGAAGAATTAGAAATAGTAAAAAATGGTTGACTCTGCGGGGAGGGACTAAGGTAGGGACAGGGAGATAATGTTTTCCATTATCAACCCTCTGGACTATGTGATTTTTGTTTTGTTTTGTCATGTGCATATTACCTTGAAAAATCTCATAAGACTTTTATGAGATTCCAGGTTGAATCCTTCTCATATACTTGATTTAAGAATTGCTTCTTGGGTTTGTGGCATTATGACTAGTCCAAGAATAACATCAACAATCTGTAGATGGTGTAGTTGGTTTTCTTGTTTGTTTGTTTTGTTTATTTATTTTGAGAGAGAGAGAGCAGGGGAGGGGCAGAGAGAGAGAGGGAGAGAGAGAATCCCAAGAGAATCAAGAGCTGGATGCTTAACTGACTGAGTCACCCAGGAGCCCTGTGAACCCTATTTCTAAAGTAATGTTAGGAGTTATAGCTTGGCAATGACTAATTAGTGTAGAGCTTCAAAATCATCATTTTATAATTATTTCTGTTTCCTTTAAACTTATTTTTAGAGATATTTAATTAGAAACAAGGCAGGTATACAATTACATTGTACACAGAGAAATAGGAAGTTAGAAATATTTCTACTCAACAGTTTGAAAAATAGCTAAAGTATCAAATCAAAAGTAGATAAGTCAATGATAAAAGTAAAATTTCCAAAACAGGATATATGACCTCATACCAGTCAGAATGATGTGACAAGAAATAGCAAGTGTTGGTGCCTGGGTGGCTCAGTTGGTTGAGTGTCCAACTTTTCATTTCGGCTCAGGTCATGATCTCATGTTTAGGGAGATCGAGCCCAGAGTCAGGCTGTGCTGACAGCATGGATCCTGCTTGGGATTCTCTCTCTCTCCCTCTCTCTCTGCCCCTCCCCTGTTCACAGGCACAAGCTCATTCTCTCTCTCAAAATAAATAAATATTAAAAAAAAAAAAAAGAAACAGCAAGTGTTGGCAAGGATGAGGAGCAAAGGGGATCCTCGTGTGCTGTTGCTGGGAATATAAACTGGTGCAAACGCTGTGGGAAAAAGTATGGAGGTTCCTTAAAATTAAAAATAGAAAATACTGTATGATCCAGTAATTCCACTACTGGGTATTTACCCAAAGAAAATGAAAACACTAATTCAAAAGATCTAGGCACCCTTATGTTTATTGCAGCATTATTTACAATCGCTAAGATATGAAAGCAACCTAAGCGGTCGTTGATAGATGGATAAAGAAGTAGTATATATATGCAACGGACTATTACTCAGCCATAACAAGGGATGAGATATTGTTATTTGTGACAACACGGATAGACCTGGAGGGGTATTATGCTATGTGAAGTAAGTCAGAGAAAGAGATACTGTGTGATTTCACTTACATGGGGAATCTAAGAAACAAAACAGATGAACAAATGAACAAATAAAGATACAAACAAAACCCAGAAACAGACTCATTGATATAGGAAAAAAAACTGGTAGCTGCCAAAGGGGAGTGGGGTGGGGAGGTGGGAGAAATAGTTGAAGGGGATTGAGAGATAACAGACTTCCAGTTTTAAATAACAAATCACCAGAGATGAAAACTTAAGTACAGTAAATTCAGTCAATAACAAGGTTGTATAGTGAACAGATGGTAACTATGTTTATAGTGGTAAGCACTGCACGATACATAGAAGTGTTGAATCACTATATTGTGTACCTATACTATACTTCAAAACAAAAATATTTATATTAGAATAATGTTAAAATCTATATATTCTATATATTTAAAATTTTTTAAACGTTTATTCATTTTTTTTATTTCTTATTAAATTTTTTTTAATGTTTATTTATTTTTGAGACAGAGAGACAGAGCATGAACAGGGGAGGGTCAGAGAGAGAGGGAGACACAGAATCCGAAGCAGGCTCCAGGCTCTGAGCTGTCAGCGCAGAGCCCGACGCAGGGCTTGAACTCACGGACCGTGAGATCATGACCTGAGCTGAAGGCGGATGCTTAACCGACTGAGCCACCCAGGCGCCCCTAACGTTTATTCATTTTTGAGAGAGAGCACGAGCGTGCAAGTGGGGGAGGGGCAGAGAGAGAGAGAGAGAGGGAGACACAGAATCTGAAGCAGGCTCCAGGCTCTGAGCTGTCAGCACAGAGCCCAATGTGGGGCTTGAACTCACAAACCACGAGATCATGTCCTGAGCCAAAGTCAGATGCTTAACTGACTCAGCCACCCAGGAGCCCCATATTCTAGATATTTTTTAAACAACAAAGTTCACTTGTGTTTCTTCTGCTCTGTCTGCATACCTTATAAACATTTCTTTGGGGTGAACATCTGAGAAAAAAAATCAAGGCTCATTTTTTTTTTTTTTAAAAAGTAAAGTTTATTCAACTTTTCCTATATTTTTTCCTCGTAAAAAAAATTTCTGAGATCTTTAAATGCCTCCTTTAATTATTTTATCTCTGTAAAATGTGGGTATTAAAATTCTCCCCTTTATCGCTCTGAAAATGATTTTTCTCTATTTCCTCCAGTTAATTTTTCTAAAAATCTGGGAACTCTCATTGTACTATCTGCCAAGTATTTTAAAGTAAAAAAAAAAAATGTTGAGAACATCTGTTCTAGAGAAAAGGTCTTGTAGGGTTTTTTTTTGTTTGTTTGTTTTGTTTTGTTTTTTTTTTTTTACCTCACACAGCAATCTTACACATTGTTTTGCATAGAGGAGTTGCTCCAAAGCTGTTTGCTGTATTGAATCATATTGAGTATTATAATATATGGTATAACATTATTATAATAGGACTAGCCCAAACTGGAGTGAAAAAAATCAGAGTTTATGGTATAAGAAAAGTGATTAATCATGTGTAACAACAGAATTGAACTTTTCTTGTCAGATACGTTAGTATAACTAAGTGAAGTCCCTCCATCATTTAAGTGCATTACTGGATGTCCACTCTGTGCCAGGCACTACCCTAGGCTCTGTGCCCACAAAGATAGACAAGACAAGATCCTTCCTCTATAATCACTCACAGCCTAGTGGAGGCGGCCAACCAGAGACTGGGAAGTTACTAAACCACAGGACTTGGACTATGGCAGGTCCAAATTTTCTGTCCCTCTAACTCCTTTCTATTTACTGCTAAGGTGATGGGAGTAAAGAAGCAAAAGCTTTATCAGCATAATTAGCAAGAGAGGTGTCCATCTGCCTTACAGAAAGACTTAGGCTTGCCCCCTAAACACAAAAAATTATCCTGACCTAGGAGACCTTGAGTGCACTCCTTTAGGATGGGAGCACTCAGCAGTGGAACCCTGACTCTGGACAGATGCCTGGAGGGTCTCTCAGGAAGGAGGTGGATGCCAGGGAGAGGTGAGGTAGAAACAGAGTCCTGGATTTTCACAGGGGCAGATTTTGCATGGATGGACACAGCAGGAAAAATAAATGTCAGTATTCATGATTGGCTAATGGCAAGGTTGTCTGTTACTCCCCTAGATGTTGAGGTCTCCGTTACTCCCATGAATGATGGTTACTGCTATAGTGAAGATGTGCTCAGTGTCCCACAGCTACGAAAAATTGTCCCGCTCAGGCTGCACTGCAGATGTGAGGAGGGCAATGGAGGTATGAGAAAATGGTTGGGAATATGAAAATTGTTCAGTAAGGCTCAGACATGCACCATGTGTCCAAAGAAGCTGACCCGTTGCAGTGCTTTCTTATGAAATGACAATCAGTCAACTACCATGATTGTTCTTACCCTCTGCAGATTGGGGGTGGGGGGGGCAGGAAGTACAGCTCAGTGCTGAGCAGAAGATGCTCCTTTTGAGGATGAGGAATAAAAGAAAGGGCAGGCTGGGTTGTCTTCCTCAGGAACGGAGTCCACAGGTGACAAAGATTTATAATACTCATCTTCCCCATCAAGCACTTTGATTTGGCTGCAACAAAGAAAAGAGTTTTCGGGAAAAAGAGAAAACAAATGCCGCAGTCATCACCCAGGCAGCTAACAGTGCATGAGTACTGGGAACAGGGCTGGGTCCCACCCCCGGAAGGGAAGGATAACTTAGGGTACCTCAGCGTGACCCAGAACTCAGGAACTGACTCTGATCCACCAAGCCTTTGCCTCTGGGTCACAGACTGATAAAGGGCTGAATTTAGTGGCGTCTGGAGGCTGTGATCATATTACAACTTTTCTGTCTGAATTTACTTGTCTGTCCCTGTTTGGTTCCTAGATGAGAAAGTTCCCCTCTTGCCCTCCTCCAGTTCTCAAATTAGTACCAGTTAGCTATGTCACTGTATTCTCGGTCAAGATACTAACAATCAAATGGGCCACAAACTCTTTAGTGTCCTGTGTCTAACCACAGGGGGAAATTTTCCTCTGTGTATCTTTAAGGCCCAGGGGTAGGGTGATGTGGGAAGTGGCCTGTTTGCACTGTGTGGAATGCTCTCATCTGTGAGAGAGTTTTATACAATCTTCTATGACTGCAATTAGGAGGAAACTACAATTTCCTGGGATAATTATGAGAAATAACATTTGCCTTTAGGTGGCAATTTCAGCCTTTTTGGACAGAATAGACCAAGTTTTATATAGCTGCTACTGTGAAAAGTAGTTTCCAGTGTCAATAATAGTGGTGATATCCCCATTTGCATATTTTTAGAAGCTCTTCTGGAAAGTTTTGCATTTTCTGTAATATCACAAAGGACCCCTTCTGTTTACAGTTGCTTAGAACTAAGAAGACAGATATTTACCCAAGTTTTCTTGGCTTCCTTTTGCTCCCTTGATATTCTAGAGTTCCCTGTGGAGAGGGCCAAGAACACACAGTCAAAGCAAAGCAGCAAGTCGTTAATTTTTAATTCAAAGTGATTTTGTGTTGAATGCAAGCAGATGCTGATAATATCAGAAGTCACAGCATAATTTTTTTGATCAAAGGGCTCAAGTGAGCCTGATGAAGCATGCATCTTGCTCGTCTTTGATAAACCACATCAATTATTCACCGTGAAGGCAGACATCCTGACATGAAAGCAACAGATAAAGAGCCTAAGCACATGTTCAAGAAGAGAGCATAAGAGAGTGGGGGTGGGGCTGGAGGGGCTGGAACAGGTATTAATAACAGAATTATTAACTGGAAACAAAGCCAGTGAAACAGCTTTATGGCCACTTTGAACTCACATTTAACTGGTTATAGTACATGGTGTCCTCAGGGCTACTCAACATTTTGGGCTGCTGACATCTTCGGCGAGGTGTTCGCTGCTTCTGTACAAGACCATTTTCTGAAACTGCAGCAAGACAGCAAAACTTTACTGTAAACCATCTGAGGTATTGGGAAAATTAGGTAAAAATCGCTCTTCACATAAATGCACTTAGTGGAAACTGTGTCTCATTTTAATGGGCATGTTAGAGCTCTGCTAATATTGGCAGAAATGTCATCCTAAAACACATACACACACATAGGAATTGCTAAGTGTAGACAAAGGCCACTGTCTGTAACTTTGCCTTCATCTCTCTTATCTAAATCAGAAGTCAAGAGTGACAGAAAGCAAATTGGTTTGTCCATGCTGGTGAAGTAGAGGTTGGTGGCCAGCCTTTGTAGAGCACAGAGTCCTATCTTCATGGGATAACTCAGGACAATGAAGGCAATCCGGGATAGTTTGCACCACATCTTGCAGTGAGGGTTCAAAGACATCTGGAGCACACACCCTCTTGGGTAGATGAGAAGCAAACCTTTTGGTGGGATACGTTTCGGAGGGAAAATGGCTTGAGCTAGTATTTACTGAAATGCTTTGAACAATACCATTGATCCATGCAATCTCTGGAGATAGCGTAAAGGAGAAGGGGAAAAGATAATTGCATGATTTCACAGAGCAGCCTCTCCGTGTTAGCCCCGATTTCAGAACCCTGGACCAAGAGTGAACTGGAGTTTAAGAAACCACGTGTCCAATGAAGTCATGATTTATTTCCCTTCCAAGCAGATGATTTTTGTGGAATCTGCTGTCCTTTTGGCACTATATCTGAATCAGGATTTAGCAGTTTTAACTTCTTGCCAACACACACACACACACACACACACACACACACACACACACACACCCCAGAGCTGCCACACAATACTGTTTATGAATGTTACAGTCCAGAGAAGAGTTCTCACTTTCCTGGGCCGAGTGTGTATCATATTCATAAAACAGGGTTGTAGAATTGTACCTGGAATCATAGTTTCACTTCACTAGAGGTTCTTACTATTTAGGGAAACTCTGGGGGAATTTTCTAAGTGAAGAATGACTCAGCAAGAACCATTATGAATAGCAAATTATCAGTTTCCTAAGTATGAAGTTTCACACCTTTACTGTTCTTGAACTGGAACCTATCTATATTGGCCAAGACTGTTAGAACCATACAAGGATTTAGGAACTATTTATTCTAAATGCCTATTTTTTATTTTTTTTTGGAAAAGAAAACAGGCCCACGAGCGTTGAATGACTCATCCCAGATGAAATGGGAGAGTGAGGACCTAACCCTAGACTCTTACCTCCTGTTCTGGAAGCATTCTTTTAAAAACTATAGCATACTGTCCTTCTTAACAAGAAACTTTTTTTGTAAGCTAAGATCTAAGTAAAAGTAAGCTCCATCATGCTATGTTGCTTGCAGAAGGTTCTAGTAGCCATTAAAGATATCCCTGTACACATCTTCAGGAAGTCTGGGTAGAGGGCAGGACTCCAGTATCTTGGGCTGGCATCATCCTCAGAGTATAAGGAATCCAGAATTGATATGGGTTCTTTCTGCTACTTCCAACATACCTACCGCCTGCTTGGTTTGTGAAGTCCATATGCTGTAATATGGTAGGACACAAGGTGCCCTGTCTCATCTCCTCTGATTTATAGATTAATGAACAGAAGTGTATAGAGTTAAAGTTGCTGGTGTGAACATGCACTAGAGATCTGACATCTATTCTCCCTTAGACTTCTTAACGTTATGGGAATTCCAACCTTGGAAACTCAAAAGACTGATCTTAAATAGTTTCTGAGTTCAGCTGGAGTTCAGCCCAGTTCAGCTGGACTTCATATAGTGTTTACATTTGATAAGAAACTTTTATTTATATTCTCAACTGGGGATACTTAATTTAAGATGTGGTTCTCAAATTTTGTTCTCGATGAATTTGCTATTCCATGGGTGGGTATTTTTTTCCTGATTTTTAGAACTTAGGAATTAAGTTATTGGGCATAATTTTCACAATTTTAGCATTTCTCCCATAAATTAAAAAAAATCTGTTGGTGTCTGATGGTATCTATACTATACTAGAATCTAGTATAAGCTGGTGTCTGATTTAGCATTAAATTTTAATTTTAATTATTTTAACTTAAATATTTCCATGTCTCACAATGTTTTACAGAGTGCCATAACTTACAAGAGTTTTGCCATTGGAACAAATTTGAGTATCACTGGTATGTGATCAATAATAAGAAACCAAATAAATATTTGGGAAATGAATCATTATTTAATAAATGCTGTTGAGTGGGGCACCTGGATGGCTCTGTTGGTTAAACTTCCGACTTCAGCTCCTCAGATCATGATCTCACAGCTCATAGGTTTGAGCCCTGCATCAGGCTCTGTGCTGACAGTTCAGAGCCTGGAGCCTGCTTTGGATTCTGTGTCTCTCTCTCTCTCTCTCTGACCCTTCCCCCATCACACTCTTGTTTCTCTCTCTCGAAAATAAATAAAGTGTTAAAAAAAAATGCTGTTGGAACAATTTGATAGTAATATACAAAAAGTATAACTTAAATATAGACCTTATAAGGTTTATCCTATATGTAAGGTACTTTGCTGGATATTGTGGGGAAAACAAAGAAAAATAAGACAAGGTCCCTGCCTTCAGTCTAGTAGACAGCATTGAGTCTTAAGAGGTTAAGTGACTTATCATAAATTAGTGCTGCTGGGCTCAAGTTAGTGTTAAAAATTTTTTAAATCTTTTACTTTTCTCAATATGCTTTTTGATTCTTACAGGCCACAATAAATTCCAGATGAGTTATATAGTTAAACATTTTAAATATTCCTATAAAAACCTTAAAGGGAAATGAAATAGACTATTTTAACTGTGGAAGAAAATATTAATGACAAAGATGGGTCCAATTAGAGTAAAATATTCTGTATGATAGACAGTAACAAAACTAAGATGAAAGGAAGTGCAATAGAAAGATAAAAACAAATTTATTTTTATTTATTTATTTATTTTTTAATTTTTTTTTTAATGTTTATTTATTTTTGAGACAGAGAGAGAGCATGAACGGGGGAGGGTCAGAGAGAGGGAGACACAGAATCTGAAACAGGCTCCAGGCTCTGAGCTGTCAGCACAGAGCCCGACGCGGGGCTCAAACTCACGGACCGCGAGATCATGACCTGAGCTGAAGTCGGCGGCTCAACCGACTGAGCCACCCAGGCGCCCCTCATGTTTCTATTTTTATCTTATTTTGTAAAAGCTCTTAATATGTATTTTACACTCAATATATAAAACTACCAAGGCACCAACAAGGATAAATTTAAGGTATGCTGTTGATAGATGAAAATTCAAAATTCAGGAAAAGAAGCAAATATAAAACAGCATATAGGACATTGATGAAATCTAAATGTTTATGTACATTGAGAAGTTTTTTTTTCCTTTAAAAATTAAAAAAAAATCAATAAGGCATGTAGGGCAAAATTATTCTTTGATTCAGTAGACAAAGAAACTATAGCTAAGAAAGATAAATCTGGAAGTGGCAGAGTCGAAGCCACAACCCCTGTCTTTTGAGCCAATCAGTTTGCTTACAGGAGACATAAAACAATCTGGCAATTACCTAGTTCATTTGATTAGTTTATGTAGACAAAATAGGCAATTCAAGGTTGAAGGTAAACATTAGTATATGAGTTATTTGAAGACAATGTTAGTATTCTGAAAGTGGCCTATTCTTACTTCACATAAGCATTTGTAAACCAAGCCAAACTCTCCAGTTTGTAATCCTCTGGAGGCTCCCTCCCCATAAAGCTTTTCGAAAGTATATCACGTCATGAGTACTGTTTAACATAGGTCTCTTTCCCCTTCAAGAATCCCTGCACCTTCTTTTCCCCTTGCACCTTTTGATTTCATATTTGAGACCCTGAACACACCTTTCTCTTCTGAGCTGACACAGAACTTTGTAATAAACAGGAGATATACCTGTCATAAAATGGAAGAAATGTAAATGACACCTCAGTGAGGAGCGCTGGGACAGGCATACTTCTCTCTCTAACCCCAAATCACCATACTCTGTGGCTGCACAACTGGCTGAGTCCTTAGTGAGAGACAAACAGCTGAATTCAGTTGATGGCTTCGTTACATAACTTCAAACAACTGGTTTGGAAATTTCATATTCCAGTTCTTTTTATCGAACATGCAGGTATATCCAAGCTAGAGTTGCCAGATCAAATACAGAACACCCAATTAAATTTGAATTTCAGATAACAACCAATACTTTTTTTAATCTACTAAAATCCTGTGCGATATTCAGGACATACTTGTATTAAATTAAAAAGTGATCAGTTATTCATTTGAAATTCAAATCTAGCTGGGTGTTCTGTAGTTTTTGTTGTTGTTAAATCTGGCAACCCTAATTCACAAGCACAATTTCAAGTTGCAAACAAGGCGTTTTGTTCCCTCCTAGGGTCTCAGAGATGAAGAAGGAAACTATTTCCTCTGCTCTAATTGACTTGCTGAGTTACAGCTATTTTGGCTACAAATGCTCTTCTCTACACTGTCCCCTAACACGTAGGGTTTCACTTTTTATCACCCATTACAGATGTGCCATTCTGATCCATTTCCTAGCAGGATCGTAGTGAGGGAAGGACAACCACAGTGAAGGCAGGATGGGGCATACAGCCCAAATATTTCCCTGCTTAGTGGGGCAGTATGAACTCTGGGCCCCCATGGAATGGACAGGTAATGGGCAGGGTTCCTGGGAGGAGAGAGAGAGAGCACACCAGGAGAACCATGGCCATATGCACCCTTCCTGTGGGCCCTCAGCAGGCAGGAATATGTTCTGAGTGGCAAGACTGCCGATCTATCTGATTGCCATTTTGTGGATGAGCCTTTCCTAGGGTCATTTGCCAAGTAAAACATCTCCTTGAAGCAGATAGTGTTCAGTGTTCTAGATTTACAGATGGCAAATCCCATGTGGGGTTACTAGATATTTCCCTGAGGCACAAAACAGAATTAAGAGTTATGCAATTCATTTACAGACTTCTGTCAACTCTGCATAAAGGGAGGTACATC